CGACACGCTGCAGCGGCGACTCCGAAAGGTGTGGTTTGCAACGGGTGTGGTTTGCAACCCGCACCCTTGGGGGCGGGTGCTGAACTCGACCGAACTCTCCGCCGCGCCCCGAGGAGGCCCAACGAGTGCAACGTGGTGCCCCCCGAGCCCTCGCGACGCAGATCGAAAACCACACCCCGGCATAACCACACCCTCCCGAGCTGCCGACGCTACGCCAAACGTTCCTGACTGTACGCGCATAACTGTCGGGGAGACGTGAGACTCGGGTTAGAGGGACCAGGGCTGGCCCGACGGGGCCATTCTGAAAATTGACGCGACCCAGTCTGAAGCTTGACGAGGGCTCCCGCTATATACAGACATCCCACGAACACTGGACCGTCAAAATCGAGGACGCGCTCGCCAAGAAGCGTCGGCAAGCCCAAGTTCCGGCGTACCCGAGTCTCACGCTCCCCCGAACTTGGCATGCATCGTCAATTCGAGAAGCCGAGGGGGCGCGGCGCGGACGCCCAAAACGCGGTGTTCAAAGGAGCGCCGCGCCCCTGCGTGCGGCTGCTTGCGAGGAGAGAGAGGGCCCAGGCGAGCCGGATATCCGCGCCGAGGGCCTGGCGCGCCACAGCGCGGAAGATTGGGAGGGGCAGGTCTGCGCTGGATCGCACCGCGAAGTCGCACAGACTCGAGAGCGCATCGATCGACCCGCCAGCGGACCGTCTCGAAGCGGATCGGTATCGACTCCCCGCGCCCCGCTTCCTGCTGGCCCTGGCGGATGCCGGTGAACACGAGCCGGATCGCAGCGGATCGGAATCGCGGCCCAGGCCAGCGAGAGGTAGCAGGCCCAGGACTCGCGGCCCAGGCCGAATCGATTCGAATCGGAACCGAAGCGCATCGCATCGGAACGCAGGCGGCCCGCAGCGAGGATGAGCAGGCGAGCTCGGGGTGAGGAACGGGCGAGGAGAGCAGGAGGGCTCGAGTAGGGGATCGGCTACAGAATTGACGAATTGGCCTACCCCAAACTTCGATTTGCCCGACGAATGTACGAGAGATGCGTGCAATGTCTCGTAGATCTACGAACATTGAGCAGGGACCGACCGTCCCGGCATTCCTATAGTCATACCACGAAATGTTCTTAGAACCCACAAAGGTTCTAAGAACAAAACAATGTTCTTATAACATAAACCCGATGTGTTAAAACAAGACAGTCCCAGCCAGAAATGTTCTCAGAACTTGTCGTGGACACCACACAAAGTGCTTAGAACATTGCTTGGTGGGGCTATCGGCGAGCCGGGACGCTTCGCCACTGCTTGAGAACATTCTACGCGTGCCTTGCACACTCAGCGGGTAACAGATCTTGGAGTGCGTCCATTCTGTAGTCGCTCTCCTACTCGAGAGACCGCTCCTCGCGCCCCCCCCTTTCCGGACCCCTGCGAGGACCTCTGGAGGCGCGCCTGGACGGTTTCCCCCGGGCCGTAGGCGACCCGAGGAGGGGAGGGCGAGAAGCGGGAGGAGGAGGAGGAGGAGGAGGAGGAGGAGGAGGAGGAGCCTAAGCCCTTCGGAGAAACCCTCCAGGCGCGCCGGCGGCCTCCCCGAGCTGGCCGCCGCTCAGTCCCAGCCCTCGGGCGCCATGACGTCCAGGCGGCCGGACGCCGTCTGCACGGCCCGCAGCGGGCGGGCGCCGGTGCTCGCCGAGAGGAGGTCCCCGGAGTCCACCCGCTCCTGCGGACAGTGCTCGCCATCGTTCGGGCGTCCATTCCCTGTGCTTTTGCTCGGTCTCGTGCGTGGTTTTTGTCGCCAAATGGTCAAGGATGCTCCTCGAGGGTCCTCGCCGAGGAAAAAACGCACACGTCCGAGCGATGCCAGGAGACCCCCCACGATTTCTGAGGGGGAGGGTGGGGTTCACTTCGCTCGAGAGCTCACGAACGGAGTGAACCCCCCCCTCCCCCTCCAAGAAATCGTGGGGGTATGGGGTAGGGTTCGCATGTGGTCTCCTGCCTGCGGACAGGGGGGCCCCTGAGGCCTGGGCGTTGCACTCCGTTCTCGCGCCCGGCGTTTTCGCCTGGCGTCGGGCCCTCGGGGCCCTCGCAGATCGATCCGGCTCGAAAGATGAAGCAGGGGACGGGTTCTGTGGGGCTCCCGTCGCGTTCTTGTCATGCTGTTGCATTTTTTGCGCTACGTCGGATCTCCATGAATTGGGCAGGGACCGACCGTTCCGGCATTTTTATAGGCCTACCACGCAGTGTTCTTAGAACGCAACGAGGTTCTAATAACAAAATCAATGTTTTTAGAACGTGAGCCCGATGTGTTAAAGCAAGGCAGTCTCAGCCAGAGATGTTCTAAGAACAATTCGTGCAGACCATACCAGGTTCATAGAACATTCTATGTGGTGGGCCCATAGGCGAGCCAAGACGCCTCGCCACTGCTTGCGTGAAGTCTCGGCCAGGCGACACTCGGCTGGCCGAGTGCAACTTGGCGGACTTCCGCTGGCCGAGTGCCGCCCGGCCGCGCTCCGCCCGGCCGAGGTCAGCCAGCCGAGCGTAGCCGGGCCGAGCCCAGCCTGGTCGAGTACAGCTGCTGCCCTGTGGGCCCCGCCGCGCTTCGCCTGGGCAGCTTCGGTCGCTGGCCTTCGGGGCCCACCCGAGGGCAGAACCCAGGCCCCCCCGCGCGTCGCGAACAAAATCACGGCGGGAGGCTCTGGGCCAGGTTCGGCCCATGGGGGCCCTTGCCAGGCCGCGGCGGGCGGGCGCCGGTGCTGGCCGAAAGGAGGCCCCCCCGAAGTCGCACGCTCCTCCGGGTCAATCCGCACACCCGTATCTCCGACGACACGCTTTTTCAACCCGGGCGCTTTTCCTCGATGTCGGCCTCTTGGGCGGATCTGGCATGAGCAAGCACCGGGGAAGAGGTCAGGACCTCGGGGGCCGAGAAAAGAAGGGTCCTGGAATCCACCTGGTCCTTGGAGCCAATTCGCGCGCAGAGCCCTGAGATCTTGGCGTTGCAATGTTGCAATTCTGGGCGCTTTCGCCCGCTTTCGGGCCCTGAGGCTATCACAAATCGACTCGGCTCAAAAATGCAACAGCAAGATTTGGTCTGGGGCTCCGGTGGCACTTGTTCGTTGCGTGTCTTGGCTTCGGAACTCAGGGAAGGCATCTGCACACCCCGACACGGAAAATTGTCATAAAATTCTGCCTCTGGTGAACCCTTCGATACCGGGCCGGACCGTTTACGTCGTTCATTTCTAATCGTTCTCATTTCTAGTTGTGCTCGCTTCTAATCGCTCCTGGCCCCCTAGTGGCCAGGAAGAGGCCCAGGATAGAACAATCAGGAATGACAGGATATTGGCCCCCCCCCCCCCCCAAAAAAAAAAGAGAGAGAACTCTCGAAGACTCAGACATGGGCATATGTGTCTGGGCCGAGACCTCTGGGGGTCCACATGGACGGCGATCAAGACAGGCCTGACGCGAGATGGCGTACAGTCAGAAGGTATAGTCAGGACGCGAGGTGAGGACGCAAGACCCTTGGGGGCCGAAGTTGGATCGTTGGGGCGGGGGGGCGGCCAGTGAAAACGGCGAAGGACGGGCCGCAAAGGCAAGGACTCGAGGGTACCCTGGAGGAAGGCGCGCGTCCTTACTAGGCGCGTTGCCTCTAGCGGCCTTACACGCGCGGTGGCTCACCGAGGGCCGCCCCCGCGCGGCCCGCCCACACCGGACGCGAGGGCGCTCCCGCGCGCGGCCTCGCGAGGGCAGCTTCTGCGCGCCGCCGTCGGCGCAGACGGCGCCACTCTTTGTGGCGCCGCTCGCGCGGGGAAGACCACGACGCCCCGGGGTATGAAACACGGAGTTTTGCAAATGTTTCGGCATGCGCGCGCGACGACGCGCGCGTGCGCACTTTTTTTGCACACGATTTTCGAAAACTAAAGTTTTTTAAGAACGAATGCGCGCGCATATTTTGTGTTGCAAGGGATGACGGGGGGGGGCGATACCAGTTGGGCTGGGGAGGCACCCGCACACACTTTTTTCTTTGGATCTGCGGGGCGAGGGCGAACCTCTTCCGCTCAAAGCTGGGCGGGCGACGCACAGCTTCAATTAGGGAGACAGGGCACAGGAAGGCGGGGCCTCGGGCGGCCAGGAGCGGGCGGGGCCCGGGGAACAGGGAAGGCACCCGCACACACGCTGACGTCAAGTCGGGCCTGTCCCCCATACAGGGGGTTTTTCGGAATACTCAAAGACGTAGTCCCCAGATGGTTCAACAAATACTAAAAAAAATAGTCCCCAGACTATTTTTTGACTATTCCTCCTGTAGAGGGACACGCCCGACGTAACGCTGACGTCCCCGCGCCGTGGAAACTCACGGCAGGCGATTTTTGTTGTTGTTCGCCACCCGCGCGGCCACCAGGGTTAAGTCGGGCCTGTCCCCCTACAAGGGGACTTTCGACGAGAACTAAAAAATACCCCAGAAAAGGCCCCCAGATGACAAAAGAAATTAGAAAATAGTCTCCCGACAAATTTTTGGTCTATTTTTTTGACTAAGTTTGGGGTCTCCTTTGTTTTTCGTCGAAAATCCCCCTGTACAAGGGGGACAGGCCCGACCCAACACCAGGGGCCTAACTAGTCCGGGGCCCGAGAGGGGCCGCGGAAGGCACGCCTCGGGAGGAGGAGCCCGCTCCCGGGCAGAGCGGGCGCAGGAGCGGGCGGAGCAGACTCCAAGCGGGCGCGGGGGGGAGCCAGCAGCGAGGCGAAGCAGGACTGGCGAACACCTGCAGCACGCAGGGCCGGCACAGCTCGGGCGACCCTGTGCGCCAGCCGAGGCGCCGACCGCGTGGGGGAGGCGGAGGCGGCGAGTGCCCTGCGCTTCGCTGCTCCTGGCTTGGCGGCGAGCGAGAGGGGAAAGTGGGGCGGGACTTCTCAGAAGGCCCTGCGCCTTCTGAGAGGCTTTCTGTGAAAACTTCTCAGGAGGGCGGGCAACTTCCGAGCCTTCTGAGAAGGCCCGCCCCTTATCACTTCCCCCCCGGGCTCGCCGCCGACTAGCCTCTCCTTCTCGATCCCCTCGTCGTCATCGCATCGGCCATCTTACTACCAGCAGCATGGAGCAGGAGCAGGATGAGGAGGAGCATGAACAGCAATGGAAGGCAGGAATCTTCCACGGGAGGCTCAGGTCTTCCAGACGAGGCTTCAACACAACACCAAGTCCTAGAAGGGCCAGCCCGGCTGACCGCAGACATTCCGCGCAGGCGTGTACGTATGAGTTTGCTCTTCGATTTGAACTGCTGTGAGGGCCTGTATTACAAAGACGCCGGAGCGCATCAGTAGCAGCGGCAGGCGAGGATCACGACCGAAGCCCTATAGACCCCATCTTTCTGCGGCACTGTTAGAGCCGGATCGGTTTGCGGCCCCGATGATTTACTAAAAAAGGACCCCTAACCCTTTGGGAGGGGACCTCAGTTAGGAGGGCCAGGACAATTAGGGATAGGGGGTCTTTTCTGGACGTGTACCGAAGCAAACCGCCCAGAATTAGGATCCCCCACGCGAAGAGACGGGGACCTCAGTGAGGCTACGTCTTCATCGTTTCCTTAGGGTTAGAAGTTGTTCTTCTTAGAGAGCAGAAAATCCACCCCCATAATAAGCACCCCGACAAGCGAAGCCGTTTAGTAAACGCATCCAGGGAAAGAACCGAACAGGGCAGGGCCGTTCAGTAAACGCCCAGGGCCGTTTCGTAAACGCCAATTGTCGTGGTCGGGGTGGTTTTCCCACCCCTACCTTCTACCCCCAAGGACCCGAGGCTCGAAGCGAGGCCACCTCGCCCAGCATGCCGCGGCTGCGGCGCCGGGAGCTCCGGGGAGCAGCAGCAGCAGCAGCAGCAGCAGCAGCAGCAGCAGCAGCAGCAGCAGCAGCAGCAGCAGCAGCAGCAGCAGCAGGCGGCGCGAGGCGGCGCGAGGCGGCCCGCGGCGGGGGGGGGAAGAAGCGTGCGCCGCGGGCGAGGGGAGGGAGGGCAGCAGCCTGGAGCAGGAGCAGGACGAGAACCGGGGCCAAGGCGGGCACACACGAATACAGTAGGAGCTCGATCACGAGGAACCCTTCCACAAGGAGCCCAACCCTGAGACCCCGGGGCGCCCACTGATTTTTGCTGTGGGCGCGTCACGCTTACCATAAAACCATCGAAACCCGAGAAATCCAGGGCACCCTGGAGGCAAGCAGGCTGTTTCTTGGCATGGGTCTGCCCTGTAGGCACACGTTCCAAGATTCCCCCTATGTTTCCATACGTTCTGGAGTGTCGCCTTCCCCTCCGCTTCCAATCTGTTTGCGCAGATTCTCCGGGGGATTCGCGCTTCTCTGCTTCTGCGTCTTCTGATCCCGCCTGAGACGAGGAGGCGGGAGGCCCACGGGAGCATCTCAGCATCAGCGGCAGCGGCGAGGAGGAGCATCCCCAGGCATGCGATGCCCTGACTGGTCCAATGCCAGGGGCCAACCGTTCGCCACGAGACGCTTGCAGTCGACCCCTGGGGCCCGGCGAGGGCCCCCGGGGGGGCCGAGAGCGGCCAAACGCCTCGTACCGCGACGTTTGCCTTGCAGCGCGAGCGTGTCTGGGTCAGCCCTCTTCTCCTCCTGCTCCTCCTCCTCCTCCTCCTCCTCCTCCTCCTCCTTCTCTTCCTGCTCTTCTTTTTCTGCCTAAATCCTCCTCTTCCTCTTGTCCCTCCTGCTCCTCGACAAGTGGCCCGCGGCCGCGGCGTCCGCAGAGCACATGGGGTCCAGGTGGACGGGTCGAAAGGTCGTGCGGCGTCGGCGATGCATCGGCGACGTCGGCAAAGCACGGGCGATGCGGCGGCGCCGTCTGCGTGGAGAGAACCGTGATTCGCACCGAGCCGCATCGCCGATGCACCAGCGAAGCGCCACGACCCTCCGACCCCATATGGGAGGCCTTGCCAACGGAAAAGCTTCGTCGGTGTGTGAAACAAACAAAAAGAAATCGACACAGTTCGGCCGCAATTCGACCTTCCTTCTGTTGCTCGGGCTTAAGGACCCTCTGCGCCGCTGACTGACTTAGCAGTGCGTCGCACAGGGATCCGGAAAAGCCCACCCAGCCTCCGCATCCCCTTGTCCAGCGGCGTGTGCTGGTGCCGCACCGGCTTTGCCCAGCTCCGGGCGCGTTTTTTTTCCATCTCCGCCTCCCCCTTGGCCAGATCCACATCCCCGTGTGTGGATCGGGCGTTGGCAGAACTGGGTTTAGTGGAACCTGGTTTAATGATTTGTACCGGGGGCGCCCCCCCCGCCCCATTTCCACTAACCGGAACTGCCGTCACCCGAAAAACACCAATTACGCGGCAAACCTGGTTTAGTGAATCCGGCCACTTGAGGGGCCACAGGGCCCTACCGCTAACCGGGTCCCCTTGCCCGGGGCCCTGGCGATACCCGAGTGGAATTCCCCGCCACCCCTCCCGCGCTTGCTCAGCCCCCCCTCTCGTCCAGGAACGTGTTTTCCACGGTCACGCGCCATGATATCATGGCGCGTGACCGTGAAGATATCAGGGCCCGCGCCATAAGATCATGGCGCCATGATATCATGGCCCACGCCCATGATATCCCCCTCTCTGTTCTCCCCCCCCTCTCGTCCAGGAACGTGTTCTTCACCCCCCTAGGCCCCAGTCATCACCCCCCTCTGTTCCGCCCCCCCTCTCGTCCAGGAACGTGTTCTTCACGGTCACGCGCCCCTCGCCGAGGCCCGCCCAGCCCGCGGCCCCGCGCGCGGGCGGCCCGCCGCCCTCGTCGGCCGCGCCCCGGCCCGCGTCCTGCCGGCCGTGCGGGTCGCCGTCGGGCGGCCGCCGGCGGGCCCCCCGGGGCTGGACTCAGTGAAGGGGCCCCAGGACACACAGATAAATACGCACACGAATAAAAAAGACTCTCCATCTTCTCCCATCTTTTCGGGGTGTTCGTCTTCCCCCCCCCTTTTTCCCCTAGTTTCCCATGTTCTCGGGGGAATGAAGGATTAGTTGTGTCTGTGTGTTTTGTCCCCTCCTGACTCAGGTCGGGCCTGTCCCCCTACAGGGGGATTGTGGACGAAAAATAAAACATGCCCCAAAAATGCCCAAACAATTCCCCAAAATAGTAAAAAAATAGTCCCCAGGCCATGTTTTGATCATTCTTGAATATGAATGCTAGACGAAGGGGGAGTGTTGACGAAAAATAAAAAATACCCCAAACATGCCCAAAATATGCCCCAAACATAGTCACAGAAACAGCCCCCAGACTATTTTCTTGATCATTCTTGAACCTATCAGAGCTAGACGAAGGGAGAGTTCTCTCCAGGCCCCTCTGGTGCGGGTTCTCGGGCCCCGGGGCCATCAGGCAGGGGTCTGGCATCGAGTCGGGCCTGTCCCCCCTACAGGCCGATGCTGGGCGAAAAATGGGAGAAAGTCAAAAAATGTGGTCAGTGAAAAAATCTAAAAATCGCCCCCAGACTATGATTTCACTAGTTTGGAATGTTCCCCCTGTAGAGGGACAGGCCCGACGTAAGTCTGGGAGGAGCGGCTGCCCCCGGGGGAAGCGGGGGTGGGGGCCTTTGCTGGGGGCCGCGCAGCGGACGTCTGGGCAAAAGGGGTCCCGATTTCTGCTGTCCCGCGACTCGCGCCAGAACGCCCACGAGTGGCTCCAGATGTCCCTGGAGATCTCTGGATTCACTCCGATGTGTTTGTCTGGGGTTATTGTAGACTTCTTCTCCAAGCAGTGTTTGCACTTAAGGGCTTTCCCTTGTGGAATCAAGAACTGGGCATGGCCGTCGGTCCGGCGGCTATGCTATCGTCGTCGCCGCCCGTCGTCTGGGCCTGGGCGTCGGTCTAGCGGCTCTGATGTCGCCGTCGCCGACCCGTCGCGGCCCATCGTCTGAGCCTGCATTTCTTCGCATTGATTTGCCTTGCTATGCAATGTTATGCATTACAATGAGTATGCTGCGCCGCATGGATTGCACCACGCAGTTTACACCACATATATTGCACCGCCTACTTTGCACCTTATAGATGCGCAACGAAGCTTGCCCTATATGTATTGCACAGCATGTATTGTTTCTCCTTCTGAAACAAATTGATCTCCCCAGCGAGGCCAGGGATATCGATCCTCGCTGGGAACGTGCAGCTTAGATATGATGTTGCCCCATCTGTCATTCTAAATCTGAACCCGTACCATCCCAGTCAAGCCAAATTCCCCCCCCACACCCACACCCACACAGCATCCTCTGCAAAAGACATCATGCGCGCACGCTCGTTTATCAAACAACACAGGTTTAAAATACTCCCTTGCATCGTCGCACGCGCATGCCGAAATCCTGCAACAAAACTGAAGGTTTCGTAATAAGTAAACCGAGCGCCCCGGAAACATATACCATACACTGTTGCGCAACAGGATTGCTCACAAGAGTATGCGCGCTCGCGAATCCTTGAGAGAACCATCGGGTTCCCAGCATTTTCATCACACGCGACCGAGCGGGCATGCATTTCCATCTTGTTTGTTCGCCCGCACATGCCGAAATCATTCGAACGCCCTTTCGCGCGTGCTCGGAGGGGATACGATCCCTGTCAAATAACACCATGCGGGCCACCCGCGCCCGCTGGCCGCGCGCGCATGCCGAAATTATTCCACAACCTTCCTCGCCGACGCGTGGACAGCATCATCGTCATCGGCATGATCAGCATCGGCGCCGTCATTGGCCGTGCCATCATCATCGTCATCCTCATCGTCGTCACCAACATCGCTACATTCATCATCGTGTCTGCCGTTACCGACGTCGCCATGACACCGCTCCCGTCCGAGTCACGGCGGCTCTGGCGACACGCCATGCCTTGCGAGTGCAGAGGGCGTCGTTCGGAAAAGCTCGAGACGTTGACGCCTGGGGACCGCGAAGTGCATAGCGTGTCACGCCGAAGCGTGGTGGGCCAGCACCTGCGGAACGACACGCTATCCAAAAGTCCCCGCCGGGAGGGCCCCGAGAGGCGGCCACTTCGACGGCCCTGGAGGCGGCAAGCGTGCAATCGGTGGGCGGCGTCGTCGTCGCCGTCGTCGTTAGAGGGTCGGGGAAACATAAGACTCGGGTTCGGGGGACTCGGGTTGGCCCGACGGAACCATCACGGAAATGACGAGATCAAAACTGAAATTGGACGCGAGCCCCCGCTGCAAACATCCAATGAAAACTGAACCGTCAAAATCAAGAACCGTCGGCAAATCCGAGTTCCAGCGTACTCGAGCCTTACGTTTCCACGAGAGGATCGAGCTTCGAGGCGGGATCGAGCTTGGAGAAATGTTTCCCCATCATACTTAAGGACCGCATCCCATAATACTGTCGAGCACCCCGAAATGTATCGAAACATCGCCTGCCCAAGGCCCGACACGTGAAAACCGTCCCGTTTCGATACTCTCTTGGTGTTCGAAACTTCTCTCTGGCGAGCAAGGCTAAAGCAAATTGGAACATCATAAACTCTGAAGCAACTGATACCCAATGAACACTGGACCGTCACAATCCAGGACGCGCTCGTCAAAAATCGTCGGCACTTGTGGACTCCAAAACCCGGATAGCAGGGCGCCAGAAGGGTGTCGACAGGTCTGCCGAAGAACTCTGGAAGGACCTGGAGAGAACTTCCGAAGGACCTCCTGGAGAGCTTCCGGACACACGCATTGGGAAACATGTAGAACAGGCCTCTCCAAAACCCGGGATGCGCTCGTCAAAAATCAACGGCAAACCCGAGTTCCGGCGCACTCGAGCCTCACGCTTCCCCGTGAGAGCGTGCAGACGCTGGACGGCGTGCGTCGTCGTCGTCGTCTCTTCCGCCTCCGCCTCCGCCTCCTCCGCCTCCGCATGCGCCTCCGCCTCCGCCTCCTCCCCCTCCTCCTCCTCCTCCTCCTCCTCCTCCTCCTCCTCCTCCCTCCTCCTCCTCCTCCTCCTCCTCCTCCTCCTCCTCCCTCCCTCCTCCTCCTCCCCCTCCTCCTCCTCCTCCTCCTCCTCCTCCCCCTCGCTCCAAGAGGCCCCGAGGAGGAGGAGGAGGAGGAGGAGGAGGAGGAGGAGGAGGAGGACGAGGACAACCGTCTCGCTCCTCGGCGGCCTCGCTGCAGGCGGCCGTGCTCTCCGTGCGGCCGCTCTCCTGCCGCGCGCCCGGGGCGCCCGCCGCCGGGCGGGCGTGTGGCGCCGCGGGCGGCGCGAGGGCGGCGGCGGCGGCGGCGCCCGGCGCCGCGCGCGGCCAGGGCTGGGCCGGCGGCGCCGTGTACGCCATGCCGCCGGGGGCCGCCTGAGGGCAGCTCCGTCGGTCCTCGACATTGGACGCCCGAAATGGGTACGGAAACAATGGGTACAGTGCCCAACAACAAATGTTGTCCCAAACCAACAGCGGCCGCTGTTGGGCAGGCGGCCTTCTGTCTCGAGTGGACACAGGCCGCGGCGGCGCGGAGAGCGAGCCCTGTTCAAAAAGGACAGGAACTGCTGTTGTGCATTGTACCCATTCTTTCAGTGCCCATCTCGGGCGTCCAGATCGACGGCGAGGACCTTTCTGGAGCGCCTCCCGTAAGGAGCGCAGGCCGCGAAAGGCCTTCAATGTCGAGGACGCCCCCCCCGCCCCTCCCGAGCTCTCGGCGGGGAAGAGGAACTCGCGTCCCTCTTCCTCCCTCCGTCTCCTCCTCCTCCTCCTTTTTGTTGGACGTTGCTCAGACTTTGTCTACGTGGATGAAGCGTTCCTCCTCCTCCTCCTCTTCCCCCCTGGACGTCCTTGCCTAACCCTGGTTGTCCTCGTCTGACCTACTTCTCCCTAGCCGCCCTTCCTCTCCTCCTCCAGCTCGCCCACACTTGAGCGTCGTAACCTCGAAGGATCTTTAAAATCCCCTCAATAGGGGGTACCCAATTATTTTTCGGCGGCCTTATTCACAGAGTGGGGTCCCACCAGCAACAAGGGGTAGCTATCTATTTGTTCTGCGGCACCCGCCACGCGACAACGACGACGACAACGACGACGACAGCAACAGGGAGGGGGAGAGGAGGGATCAGGAGGAGGAGGAGGAGGACGAGAAGGAGGACGAGGAGGAGGACGAGGAGGGGAGAGTTTTAGGACCAGTCCTATTCACCGCCGAGTGAAGACAAGTCGGGGGTCAAACCAAATCGACCTTACGAGGTTAATCCATACAAATTATTGCTGCTTCTCGCGAGTCGACGCTGACGGACGCTAGCCGACGCTAGTCGACGCTACAAACTCATCGGCGCTAAGTCTGTCCCTCCCGTCGGCTGCAAGCCGCTAGCAAACGCTAATCACGAGGGCATACCGGGCTCCCATGATTTGCTGCAAAAGCCTGCAGCCTGGACACCCCTGGGTAATGAACAACTCATGCCAGGAAGCTGTTCCTTCCCCACTATCGGCCTCCATGCCAGGAAGCTGTTCCTTCCCCACGATCGGCCTCCATGCCAAGAAGCTGTTCCTTCCCCACCATCGGCCTCCAGGGGCCCGTACTAGACCTCGGGACCGACGAACACCGACTCGGGACGAAAAGCTATTCTCCAGGGTCCCAAGACCGCTAACCAGCAAGAATATCCGACGCAGCAGCGGGAGACGAATCCAAACGCAACAGCGTGCACGTGAAGTGGCCCCTCGGGCCACAAGTGTGACTCTCCAAGCAAACGTCGAGCAGTGCTGAGAGGGGTGCAAGGCAGCACCACGCAGGCATGTAAGACAATTCTCAAACGAAACGAAAAGGAAATCGGTTAGCCGAAACTCGTAGGCCTTTTTCTCACGGCCAAGAGAACGGGAGGTGGTGGGGAAGCAGGATGGCAGAACTTGAGCCATCACAGTTGCAGTGACAGCAACATGATGTAGACCGGTATGCTACACAGGGACTGGGAGAAACCACATCTACATATTACTATTCTCCAGGGTCCCAAGACCGCTAACCAGCAAGAGTATCCGACGCAGCAGCGGGAGACGAAGCCAAACGCAACAGCGTGCACGTGAAGTGGCCCCTCGGGCCACAAGTGTGACTCTCCAAGCAAACGTCGAGCAGTGCTGAGAGGGGTGCAAGGCAGCACCACGCAGGCATGTAAGACAATTCTCAAACGAAACGAAAAGGAAATCGGCTAGCCGAAACTCGTAGGCCTTTTTCTCACGGCCAAACCTCCCGAATTCCTCGGGACTGGTCTCTGGACCGTCATCTCCCGAAGCGAGTGCAAAAGCCTGGCAGGTAAAGAGCTGGCAGCGCGCTTCGCGCTTCGAATCTGAGAAGCGTCACACTTTTCAAGCTGCTTCAAAAGTTGGGCGTGCTTTTCATATCTTGTGACACTCTTGAAACTCACCCAACGGCCTCTCTTTTGGATTGACGGAAGGTCAGCTCTCTTCTCAAACCGATCGTTGGACGGGCCAGAGTGGCGCAACCGATGCGGCGAGCCGCCCACGGCCTGTAGCTTCAACCTCACCAGGGAGGCTTTGAACTCTCTCTCATAGGTGGCAAGATCAAAATCGAACACGCGCTCACCGACTTGGACTGAGTCTTTGAGCGCGGCCACAATGTCTCGGACCCACTCACGGCCGCACACCCCGACATCGACGGTGTCATCCGTCTGGCCAGTCTTGGTCCTCCGCCCGGACTCGGACGGCGCGAAGACCACTGCCCAGCGGCCGGCAAAAGCACGGCCTGCCGCGGGCTGGCTACGGAGAATGTCGGCCTCTGAGAGCTCCAGGGTCTCCGAAGGCCTCGAGTACAAATCGGTCTGAAGCACCACGCAGGCGGCCATGCGCACCAGCCCGTGATTCAGCAGGTCCAGCGCGATGGCCCAGATCAGTATGAGCGGATAGGGTAGGCCAACAAGCCCGGGATCTGTCCGCTCCCAAGCCTTCAACTGCCTCCGAGCCCGTGGGAGCAACTGACGTCCGTCCTGAAAAGGCTCTCCTCGCAGCAAGATCCAGCCGAACAGGCCGTTGCGGCCCGTCCCAGGACCCATGCCATCGAAGAACATCTGAGTAAACCAGTGCACCATATTCTCGTCAGCGTCCTTTGCATTGTTGGTCTGGCGACCGACCCCGACGCACCACGCCTCGAAGTCCTCCAGCGCCGCCGTGTACAGCCTCCGAGTGGACTCTGCGACGGACAGCTCCCTCATGAACTGCGCCCGCGAACGCCCACTGCCCTGAGCCCGACGGCGCCGGCTGGCGGCCTTGGCCTTAGCCGAGACCCGGCGGCGGGACGACTGGGAGGTCGAGAGCCTCCCCGCGCTTCCTGAGCCGGGCCCTCTCGGCGGCCCCCGTCCTGCCGAAGAGGACGCCGTGGCGCGTGAGGTAGTCGGTGGCTGCCCCACAAACCGCATCGCCGCACGCTGCTTCGTCAGCACCGGGAACATCACGCCCAGCACGAAGACGACGGCCAGGCCGAACCAGTGCCGCCAAGGCAGCGTGCCACTCGCCGGCCCAAGGGGCATCGCCCCCACGGGCGGCCAGAGGTGCAACCTCGCTCAAGTATGACGCCCATCTCGAGCACAAAGCCGACGGATACTGACCCGCCAGGGCCGTGAGATTGCACCAGACGTGACCCCCAGAGCCATCAGGGACCCGAACTTTACCCACCAGCTGTTCATGTCGATGATGGGTACAGGGAGCCGACAGGCCCCTCAGCTCCGGGACGTGAGCACCAGAGTCCACTTTTGATGAGGAGCACCATACGCACACATAGGAAATCGCACCCAAGACGCACCATGGAGACCAGCGAGGCGACCAATAGGAGGGAAACTCCAGAGCCCAGAGGTCATGGGGTTCTCGATGCTCCAGCCCACTCCACAACGTTGACACTCACGAACAACTTCAGCGGTAAACAACGCGAACTCAACCCCGAGACGCTCCAGGATTTCAGCTCGATGAAGATTACGGACTCCACGTCGAGCGTTGCTCCAGGCCCTGCACGGGGTCCCCAAGTGTACAGCCCAAACTCTTCCAGACCGAACCCAAGATAGGACGAGCAGCTGTGTTTTTCTCCTCGAGAGGTCATACTCGGCACCCTTCTTGATGTCAAACGGGGCCGCTGTCCGCAGCCCAGCACGTCGCACGGCGGCGGTCAACCCCGCCGCACCTGCGAACAACTCCAGAAAGACGCGTGCATGTGAGGTGGAGGGAGGCGATGGTGATTCGGCGTGTTCTCTATGATCGGGAGGAGTGGACGAAGAGGATGAGCCCCCCTCCCCGACGCTCGCGGACGGCAACCAAGGGGCAACAGGCTGTCGCTCCCTCTTCTTCTGCAGCAGCCACTCAGGGTCGCGGGCCTGGCCCCTCCTCGACCCCTCGTCGACCACATTCAAGTCTGTCGGGACGTGCCTGACCCGCCACCGAACACGGCAGCCCACGCTATAGGCGGCCGCCTTTCGGCAAAACGAATTCAGAACGTGTGATCGGGCTCTGCCTTTGTCAAAGCAGCAGCAGCAAACAAGGTTGTCGCAAAGGCTGAGAGCGCGGTGCCCGTGGTGGGCGCGTGTCCGGCAAAAGCGCCTCAGGCCGGCCACGCAGATCCGGCCCTCCTTCACGTTGATGTGCTCGTCATACTTCCAACGACCCTCGACGGCGGTAGTCCACCCGAGGCTGCTGGTGAGGGCGGTCGGCAAGGCGGGCACGACGTTGAGCAACTCCACCTCCTGGGTCAGACCGGGGCGGCTAGCCCAGCGCCGCGGCGCACCGCGGCCGACAGCAGCTCGGCGAAACAGGAGCTTCCCCAGCTCGGTCTCGCGCCAGGCCCCTGCCGGCTGACCGCCCCGAACTCGGGCGTCTGCATGCTTGGGGGCCCCCTCGTCCAGCGTGGCCCCGAAGCCGTCGGTGACGCCTCGGAGCTGGTTGAGGTACGCCGCCGTGTAGGCGTCCGAGCTCCTGTCGGCCTCCACCTCCACGAATCGCCAACGCTCTCGCCAGCGATATGCGTCCCAGACAGCACGAAGCGGCTTCTGCCCGTACATCAGGCAGAAGCCGGAGGACGACGAATCCGAAACGTGGACCTCGTCGGCGAGGGGCGCACTCAGATCGACCTCGGTCAAGAAACAGGCGATGGCGGCCATGCGGAGCTCCCCGCGGACCGCCGCGGGAAACGCCGCCCGCCGCCGACTGCCGTCGCCGATGAAGTGGTACACGCCTTGCAGGATGGACAGCAGGCAGGGCTGCAGCCCCAAGAGGGCCACGGCGTGCCCTGCCCAGACGCGGAGCTCGGCCCCCGTCGCGTGGCCCCGCTTCAGCAGGGCCTTGGTGGCGAAGTAGAAGCGCCAGACCCGCTTGGGCTTCTGGCGCACGCGGCGGTCGGTCCCGCACAGCACCAGGCCCAAACTCTCCAGCTCCTCCACCGCCACGTCCGCGGCGTGCAGGGCCAGCCCCGCCTCGGCAGCCCGCTCCTCGAAGGCCCGCACCCCGTGCTCGGCGTCGACGGCCGAGCCCCCCACCCCTGTGAAGTTGTCCACGTACACGGCGGCCAGAGGCCGCCCAGGGCGCAGGAGGGGCGCAGGACGCTTGTCTCGAAGGAGTTGCCGATCTCCATCAGCAGCAGAGCGCCGAACCTGCTGAGTGACAGCCTCCTGGGCGAAGTACAGCGCCCAGGCCCGACCCATCGGTAAAACACGGAGGCAGGGGAACAGGAGCTCGCCTGCTCGGGCAGGAGTCCAGTCTCCCACATCGTCGTCCCACACGCGCGTGATGCCCATGTCCCAGTCCTCGATGGTCAGCGCGGAGTCGAACCCGAACCAGCTGCCCATCTCCTCGTTGGCGAGCTGGTAAAAACAATCCTTGACGTCGGCTCCTGAGAAGCGTGGCTCACAGACGCCACCAAAGCCTCCCAGAGCCGTAGCGTAGCTGCTGAGGTCGATCTCCGAAAGGCAGGCTGCACCTCCCAAGACCGTCCGAGGAGGGAGACGATGGCACATGTTCGTCGCCCTCGCGTCGCAGATAAACCTGATGTTGCCGTCCTTCTTATGAACGAAAAAAGCGCCGCAGCGGGACTTGATGGCCCGCCTGAAACCCACGATGCCGATCTTAGCAAGTCGGCGAAAAAAGTCACGACGGAGCTCAGCATCACCGCGAAGCCGAGGATCCCAGTACGGCTCGGGCATCCCCCCAGCCTCTCGGACACGCTCGGCGATCTCGGGTTCTGAGAGCTCGATCTGGCTCTGGAAGTGTCTCAAAAAACCTGCAGCCTCGGCAGGTGGCAAGTCCGTCACGGGAACTGGGTTGATGTCCCCTTTGCACACCCTAAGGCGCGAGACGTCGTAGCTCGCCAAATGCTGCGGCTCCAGTTCATACTGGTCAGTGGATCTGAGGATCTCCCGGAGGGACCTCTCGCCGTCCACCGCTTCGCTCGAGGGGTTCCCGTAGAAGTCGATCCGCTCCTGGACTGACTCCAGCACGCTGCGCTGCACTGCTGTGGGAGCTCCCCCGTACGGCCTAACTCGTCGAGCTTTGTCGCATCCTGAATTCACACGTGAGGCGGCGAGGTAGTTGAGCATGTCAACCGCTTCGGAAACTCGCCGCTGCCTCTCAGTCCTGACTCTCCACCGTCGCACAGTGGAGCGGGGGGCACCAGACGGCCTTGCGTCGATGGCCACCTGCGGCAAGGGAAAAGGGTCGTTGTGAAACCACTGTCCGCGAGGCCACCATTCAGTCTTGGTCTGGCCTCCAGCTCCACGTCGAGGGCGCCCACCGTCATCAGGCGCGGCAGAGCCCTGCTGGTGAGCGCCAGGGAACACGGTCATTCCCCGCCCCCCGAGCCATCGCCCGGGGGGCCGCCCTTCTTCTTCTTGCCCTTGTCCTTCTCCTTGTCCTTCCGGTTGCGCTTCCCCCCGTCGTCCGAAGGGCGCTCCCGCTCCAGCTCCTCTTTGTGCAACCTCATCTGCTTCAATATGTTGGCGCGGTCCTTCTGGCGGGCCACCACAAACTCTGTGTATCTCGGGACGGCGGCAGAGCCCGATGCACCTGTGGGCCCGCCGACGGCATCCTCGAGACCGGAAAAGTCTGGATGCCGTGGATTGCGCTGTACTGCCATCTCGATCTGGATGACCCGCCTGACCAGAGCCTCCATGCAGTGGAGGTTCTTCACATTGAGCTGGTCCATGCAAATCGCACGGCGGGCGATCTCCAGGAGCGAACGGTGCTCGTGGCATTGGGCACCCCCTGAGAAGTCTCCGCTCATGCGCTCCCACTCGGCCTGGTAGCTCGTGAGGTTCCCGCTGCCGACGGCCACCGACGTGACGAACTCGCCCATCGCGCGCGGCCCTAAGTCGGTGTAGTCGGCGAGCTCCGCCTCCTCCATCTGTTCCACGGCGTCACGGAAGTCCACGTCCCTGCGGCCGATCTTCGACCGCTGGTCGCCGTTCAGGCGGATGTCGACGCAGCTCTCCTTGCGCTCCTTCATCCAGTCATCCCTCTCGTCGCGGGTGATCAGCTCGATCATCCGCTCCTGCCCGTCCAGCATCACGATGCCCTTCCTTCGCAGATGGGCACAACGATTCGGGTCCTCCACCACATCAGCAGGCACCACCTCGCCGAACCTCGCGTCCCGCGGCTCGGCGAGCACCCAAGCGAGGTCCGCCTCATCCTCGGCGTCGCCAGCCCCCAGCAGCGCCGCGCGCTGTCGGGCCTGGCGCTTCAGCTCAAGCAGCTCCCCGTGGTCGATGGGGTCGAAAGCATAGAGCCCAGCCAGCACCCACCGAGGAAACTGCGCATTACGATCGAGGACATAGTGGCGCAGCTCGTTCAAGTTGTGCTGCGTGATCTCCATATCTGGCGTCAAGCACATCCAGCGCCCGTCGCCCATGGCGTGCAGAAGAATCCGATGATGCCACGGCAGAGCATCCAGAGGGAAATTCACGACGATCTGCGGCTCCCGTATGTCAAGCGAGCGCGGCCTGGCCGCCATCTCTCCTCGATGCTGGCGTCACCACCAGCGCCCTCGCTGTCTCTGGTCCCGCAGCAGGCTCCACCACGTGAGCGTCACGCAGAGCCTCGGGCGGACACACAAATGCACTCGACCCGCGAGCCGCGAGTCGGCCAACGTAGAGTCCGACGGCAGCGCCGAGCACCAGACCCGCCAGCGCGCAGCCCGTGGCCACGCCCGCGCCCAGCAGCAGCAGCCAGCTGCCCGCCTCGGGCTTGGGGCACGAGCACTCACAGTGCGCAGCCGGGCAGGCCGGGAGCGGGGGCCCCGACGAGCACACCAGCTCGGGGCAGGCAGGGATCGCAGGCAGGCTCGGACACTGGGCGGCGATCGCCGCGGTCTGGTAATGAAGGCCAAGGGTGGTGAGGTCCCTGGCGGCCGCGAGGACGACTGGCGTCCACCCCCACATCAGAACTTGAGCCATCACAGTTGCAGTGACAGCAACATGATGTAGACCGGTATGCTACACAGGGACTGGGAGAAACCACATCTACAGATTACTATTCTCGGGGAAGGAGTCTAGACAGCCGGACTCTGGATCCGCCGCACTTGTGCGATTTCGAATGTAGGGCGGAAATGCCCGGCCTACTTTTCAAACTCCTTTGCTCTCGATTGCCGCCCTACTGTGCCGTCATTGTTTCCGCACTACTCTCTCGGGCATATCATCCCACCTTTCTTTCAGAAACGGGAATTTCCACCATACCTCTTCGCATCGTTCGGGGTGCATTTCCGTCGTCATTGCGCATCGGAAACTCAACCAACGTACGGCGATCTGGAGTCAGGGACGTCCCCATACCGCGTCTTGAATCAAATCATTCAGTATCGTTGATCCGACCCTTATGCCCAACGGCGAGTCCTGGGCTCCACTAGCCGATTGCCCCCCCTAGATAAGGATATAGGCCGTTTCCTCCAGAGTTCGACGGGTGTCTATCCCCAACAGGGGTGGTGAGAAGGTGGGGGTCTGGATTGGGATGGGGATGGGGATGGGGATGGGTACAGGGGTCGGTTGAACGATACGGAATCACGAGGGAGGACGGCACTCAACAGCTCAGGATGAAAAGCCAATCCAAAGGAATGGGTCGAGACGAAAGCGCCGTGCACACCATGCCGCAAGGGCCGCCTGGAGCGAGGGGAACATTGGACTTCCGAAAATTCATCCGGATTTTTTCGCCACTCGTCAAGCTCCCTTAATGTCGATTTCCGCTCGACTGTGCCGCCACTGGTTCTGCCAAATGCCCGTCTACCTTTGTTCGCATCGTCAGGGGTGCATGTCCGAAGTAATTTCATAATGGGGAATCAACCAAAGCACAACGGATCCGAAATCAAGGACGTCCCTCGACCCCCTTGCGTCCTTAACAAAACCACGAGGGGCGGTTTTGGATGCATTTCGGCCCGAGGGGGGCCCTTACAAAGCCCAAGGACTGTCAAAACACGACTTGGGATGAAAAGCAAGACAGGTTGGACAGCCCCTGGATGCGTTCGAGTCAAGGCTCCCAGATGCCCTATCCCTGCGGGCAGTTTGTCGCCCTGGGTCAGTTTTTGATGGCCTTGGGGCACCATATTTGGCGGCGAGCGCGGGGGGGAAGTAAGAAGGGCGGGCCTTCTGAGAAGTGTTATCAGCCTTCTCCGAAGACGCAGAAAACTTCTCAGAAGGCTGAAGGGCTTCTGAGAAGCACTTCCGCCTTCTCAGAAGGCCTCCTCCTACTCACTTTCCCCCCTCCTCTCTCGCCGCCGACATATGACCCAGAGGCTGGAATCCAGAGATGACGCCTGGATTAAAACAGAAACACCCTAGCAATGCACCCGAATAACAGCAAGTGTGAAGAGGCGGGTCGATGATCAGGAGAAGGGGCCGGCCGGGAAGCCCTGAGAAAGAAAAGATGCAGCCGCTCGAGAAAAATGTGCCCGCCCCCGTCTCGGATGCTCGATCAATAACCGGGTCCGCAGACCACCGCTCTCCTTTTAAAAGATGCACCGCGTTTTGTCCAGAATCCTCAATTCGGGGATGGACAGACCTCCCTTTAGTAAAACGTGGTTCAGTGAACACGACCTCGGGCCCAAGCCTGGCGGGCGCACGCCTGAAAAATAACGGCTGCGGCGCCCTCTCGAGAACCGAAAAGGGACAACTCACGAATCGACGCGTCAGGGTGGGCGGCCTGTCCACCCCCGATCAGTACGTGACACCATGTGGACACCCTGCGGATTTTTTCTTGTTTCGAGTGCCCGCTCCAGGAGGGCGCGCCCTGCGTGAGAAGGCGAAAACCCACCCCCACCCCCAGTCCCGACCCCATTTCCGAACCCTCGATCCGGGGGGTCGGGACTGGGGGTGGGGGTGGGTTTTCGGGGTCCAGGAATAAAGAAAACCCACCCCCACCCCCAGTCCCGACCCCCCAGATCGCGGGCTCGGGAATGGGCGTCGGGACTGGGGGTGGGGGTGGGCTTTCGCCTTCTCACTGCGCGGGGGAAAAAAGTCGAGGACGTCTCAAGCGAAAAACGCTCGTTCTGCAGCGCCCGTGGGGGGCTTCGGCGCCCCAGAGGCTGCCAGGGGGTGGTTCTTAGGACCGCGGGAGCGCGTGCGAACGCACAGGGGGCTCCCAACACCCTCGAGCGGGAAGCACTGAAGGGGCCCTGGGACACACAAATAAATAGACATAACTCACCACATTCCCTATATTTTTTTACATATTTTCTGGGTTTCTGCCTTCCCCCCACTTCCCATAGTTTCCCCTATTCTCTGGGGGATCGACGACTCATTGTGTCTGTGTTTTTTCCCGCCTGGAACACGTGAAACCACGTGGGTTCCTAACGCCTCGGGGCGGGTGAGGAGTGAACGCGCATGGGTTCCTAACACCCCAGAGCGGGGCACGCGCGAAAGCCCTTGGGTTCCTGACGTCCCAAGGCGGGGCAAGCGGGGCAACACGTTGGGTCCTACAGTCCCAGAGCGGGAGAAGTTTTGAAAACACATGGGTTGCGGATGCCCCAGGGCGGGATTAGCCTGATAACACGTGGGCTGCTTGCGCTCCAGGGCGGGCCAAGCAAGAAGACATGTGGGTCCCTAGCGCCTCCGAGCGGGACACGCTCGTAAACATGTTGTTTTTTCTCAACGCCCCTGAGCGGGACAAGCGTGAAAACACTCGGGGTCCTAACGCCAGAGCGGGACAAGCTTGAAAACACGTGGGTCCCCAACGCTCTAGAGCGGGACAAGCGTGAACACATTGGGATTCCCAACGCTCCAGAGCGGGACAAGCGTAAAAAACACACGGGTCCCCAACGCCCCTGAGATGGACAAGCCAAAAACAGGTGGGTCCCTGGCGCTCCAGGGCGGGACCAGCGTGAAAACACATGGGCTCCTTGCGCCCCCGATCGAAACAAGCGTGAAAGCAGGTAGGTCCCCAACGCCCCACAGCGGGTTCCTCAAGTCCCAAAGCGGTACGGCGTATGCCCTTCCCCCCTCGGCGCGTCCCCCGGCTCGTCCTCTGTCGCGTTTCCTGGCTGGTCCCCTGGCGCTTTTCCTGCCCGTTCCGTGGCGCATCCTTTGCCACGCCGCCTGGCACGTCCCCTGGCGCATCCCCGAGTGCGCCCCTGGCACATTCGGTGGTTGTGGGCCGTTTGGGAGCCTTCGTGTGGGGCGCCTGGAGGGCGTGGTGGGCCATCTGGCGACAACCACGAGCGTCTGTGAGTGATCCTCCGGCGGCTCGGAAGCGACTCGGGGCTCTCGGGGCGCATCTGGAGCACCACTGGGCCCCCCGGACACCCCAGGCATTGTCTGGGTCCCGGCCCCGGGCCCCCTGGCCTCGTAGACGGGGTTGTATATGTATAGGTGTATATATATGTATATATATATATATACATCTGTATATGTATATGTATATTTATATGTATATGTATATGTATATATACATATGTGTTTATGCACAAAACGGCCATTTAGAATTGGACATGGCGCTGCACACTTGTAAATTATCCCAGTGCGACCCTACCTAGGAGTTGGAGCCCCTAGGAAAGCAGCATTAGTAGTAACAGTAAAGCTAAACTAAATATAAGCTAAAGCTAAGCTAAAGCTAAGCTAACGCTAAGCTAACGCTAAGCTAACGTTCAACTAAATCTAAGCTAAAACTAAGCTGAAGCTATGCTAAAGCTGAGCTAAAGCTGAGCTAAAGCTAAAGCCAAGCTAAATCTAAGGTAAAGCTACGCTAAAGCTAAGCTAACGCTAAGCTAAAGCTAAGCTAAAGCTAAGCTGAAGCTAAGCTGAAGCTAAGCTAAAGCTGAGCTAAATCTAAGCTAAAGCTAAGTTACAGCTAAACTAAATCTAAGCCAAAGCTAAGCCACACAAAAGCTAAATCTAGGCTAAAGCTAAGCTACAGCTAAGCTAAAGCTAAGCTAAAGCTAAAACTAAAGCTCCCAGGGGACTGGGGGAACCGCGGGGCGGGGACTGGGGGAACCGCCCTGGGCGCTTTACACTGCCCGGCCCCTTGAAGCTAAGAGAGTAAGAACCCTTCTAGGCAGAGCCTAGGTAGGGAATATGTACTGTCTGTATATACATATATAACAAAAGAGAGGGAGAGAGAGAGAGAGAGAGTCAGAGAGTCAGAGAGAGAGAGAGAGAAACCAATCAAGAGAAAGATAATGAGAAAGAGAGTCAAACATCTCTCTCTATATATATATATACATATATATATATAGATATATACAAGAAAGAGATAGAGAGAGAGAGAGGGAAAAACAGAAAGAGCGATTTCCCAAACGGCCCTAGAGGTCCCAAAACGGCCGCAGAGGCCCCCCAGAGGGGCTCAAAAGAGTCCCCCGAGGAGGAACACCAACCGACCTTTCGAGCCCTTCGCCTCAAGATGATCCCCGAGACCGCCAGCAGGTCCCTAAGGTACCCCAAATCAGGCAACAGGAGGCCTCCCAAAGGCCCCAAGACACCCCCAAAACCGCCTCCTAGAGGCTTCCGAGAGAGGCCTCCACAGAGATTCCCGCAGGCATCCATGAGGCCTCCGATCTTCAACCTACGCGCGGTGGTGGGATGGACAGAAGTCTGGTAGAGGTTCCTCAGAAGCCCCCAACAGGCCCCCAGGAACCCCCCGGAGGCCCCAACCAGGGCACAAGAGGCCTCCACTTTAATGTTTCGTCTTATTATTTTTCTTCCTTCTCCTCCTCTTCCTCCTCCTCCTCCTCCTTTTCCTCCTCCTCCTCCTCCTCCTTCTCCTTCTCCTCCTCCACGCCGGTTTCCTTTTCCTCCCTCTCCTCCACCTCGTTTTTCTCTCTTTCCTCCAAGTGCTCCCCGAAGGGATTCCACAACGGCCGGGGCGACATATAGCCCAATAGATTCGCCAAATTTCGGCAAATCGTTTGTTCGCGCGGGCGATTCAGAAATCCGCCGGTCCGCCGTGTGAGTTTCAAAGACCCTCAAAACAGCCTGAACCTCAATTCCTGAATTTCAGCTCTACTGGGGTGTGGGTGCTGGGGTGGCTCTGCTGGGGCAGGGGGGGGGTCGATTTCATTCCGGGGGCGGAATCGGAGCTCCAGCTCACTCCGGGACGGCCCCCTCGCCCATGAGGAACCCAACATGGGCCAAGAGGGCCCCGAGTCGCCGAACGATCGCTACAAGACGCCCAAGATGTCCCCAAGACGGTTCCAGAAGCCTCCAAGATGCCCTCAAAGCCCTGAAAAAAAAAGGCCTCCCAGGGAAGGACACTCCCAAAAAACAAGTGTCTCGTTCCCGGAGGCAAACGTGCAATTCTAGCATATTCGCCGCTTGGGCCTTCAAACCGTCGCAGACGCCCCGAAAGAGCCCCAACACGGCCCAAGAAGCCGCCAAGAGGGCTCCAAGACTGCCCAAGAAGGATCCATGATGGCCCAAACGGCCCCCAGAAAAAGGCTCAAGCAGGCCCCAGAACGGGCCCGAGAGGCGCCTGAAAAGGGCGCCGAAACGGCGGAAGAAATGCCGGAAACGGCCCAAGAAACCTCCAGCAGGCCCCCAGAGGCCCCCAAGAGGTCTGAAGAGGCCCCAAGACGCTTCCAATTGGCCCCGAAGAAGCCCCTTGACGCCCCCAGAAAGGCCCGCCAAAGCCTCAAACACATGCAACCAAGACGCCTTCTAGAGGCCTCCGAGCTGCCTCCAAGACTCCCCCCGAGAAGCCCAAAAGCGGCCCCGATGCTTCCACGGCGCCTACGTCTGAACACAAACGCTGCAATACAAAAGGTTCATCCACGCTTTCACATTTTCTCCCGTCTTCGGTGTCCTTCGCATCCATGATCTCGCACAGGGCCCCGCAGAGGACCGCGCGAAGGTCACAGAGACCCAAAATAACACCATGGATCCCAGCAGAGACTGGTGATGCACAGGGCTCCACAAAGAACTGTGGCGCAGACAGCTCGATCACGAAGCTTTTCAGAGAGTGCGCCACATCGGCGAGGTGTCAACCCAAAGAGGGCCAACACCTGGCCCCAAAGAGGCTTTCCAACAACCGCCGAACATTTCCCATTTCCAACAACCGCTGAAAGTCTCCTCATCCTCGTCATGTTCCTCCTTTTCTCCCTCCCCCTCTCCTGCTCCTCCTCATCCTCAGCATCATGCTACTCCTGCCCCTCCCCCCTTCCCCCCCTCCACCTCATCATGATATCCTTTCCTCCTCCTCCTCCTCCTCCTCCTCCTCTTCCTCCTCCTCCTCCTCCTTCTCCGTTGCCTGCATTCCCAATCCTCATCATCATCCTCACCGCTCGCCGTCATCGCTGGTCATAACAGCCATCGTGCGCTTACTGCAGCAACGGAAGCGTCCCGAATCGGCGGCACTGGCCGGAGGCCACCACAATATAGGGGGCGGCGGTGGTTCGCCGTAGGCGGCTTTGACAACAAAAAAAGGGCGAGGGGGTGGAATGGCGTGGAGGCGAGGAGAAGGGAAGGAGACCAGGAACACACTCAGAAGCAACGGCGAGGAGCGCGAGGAAAAGGACGGGGAGAGGAACGGGGGAGGAGACTAGAGGGCGAGCAAAAAACTTTAGAAACTTTGGGAACTCCGCGCGGGTGTCTTGGATCTGCGCCGGGACCCCCTGGTGGCGCCTCCGGCCTCCGGCGCCGCCGGGACGGGGACCCAACGCGGATCCAAGAAAGCCTCGCGGAGCTCGAAAAGTTTACGTTCATGTCTTTCCCTCGTTCTCGAGAGACAGCAGGAGCCAGAAGGAGGAGGAGGAGGAGGAAGAGGAGGAGGAGGAGGAGGAGGAGGAGGAGGGGGGAGGAGGACGAGAAGGGGCCCTCTCCTCCTCCTCCTCCTCCTCCCTCCTCCTCCTCCTCCTCCTCCTCCCCTCCTCCTCCTCCTCCTCCTCCTCCTCCTCCTCCTCCGGGGCCCCCCGGCACGAAGCCGCCCGGGGGGCCCGCTGCAGCCTGCACGATCTGCAGCAGCGCGGCCTGCACGGCCGGCTGCGCCGCCTGCTGGGCAGGGGCCGACCGTCCCGGCATTCCTATAGTCATCCCACGAAATGTTCTTAGAACCCAAAAGTGTTCTAAGAGCAAAAACAAGGTTCTTAGAACATACACCCGATGTGCTAGGAGAAGCCAGTCCCAGCCAGAAATGTTCTGCGAACATTTCGTGGGAACCACAAGGGTTCTTAGCACATTGCTTGGTGGGGCGATAGGCGAGCCGGGGCGCTTCGCCACTGCTGGAGCCTGCAGCGGCAGCTGCCCGGCCAGCGGCCCACAGGGGCCGGGCCCCGCCTCGGCAGGAGGAGCGGAATTCCTAGGAACTCTAAGAATTCATAGGAATCCTGAGGAAATTCCTAGGAAGCCCTAGGAATTCCTGGGACTCCTTAGGACTCCTTGGGAATTCCTAGGAATCCTTCGGAGTTCCTAGGAAGCCTTAGGCACTCGGGGCGAGCAGCACGGCGGCAGGCTGCTGGGCCACTGCGGGCCCCCTGGGCGGCCCCCGCCGGGCCCCGGGGCCGTCGGAGAACGGCTCGGGGCGAGGAGCCGGGTCCCGCGGAGCGGGTCGAGACCTCCAGGGGGCCCTGGCGCGGAGAAGCCACCCGAATCGGATGCCTGCATCGGAGGTTTGGGGGGGAGGCTTTGACGGTGTGATGGAGACCCCCCCACCAAAAAATCGGCTTCGGCTTCACGTTCGTGTCGTGCGCGCGGGCGAAGCCGGTGTCCCGTGGTGTCTCGAGGTGTCCCGTGGTGTCCCGTGGCGCGTTCCCCGCGGTGTCCCGTGAGGTCGACTGCGAGATCGATTGATAGAACATCGATCTATAGAGGGAGATCGATAATGATATCGATAGGTGGGTAAGTAGCTAGACCAGGCGAGAGGCAATGCCAGGATCTGCCAGCGCACTCCAGGCTTCAGCGCCCACAATGTGTGAGCATGGCTCTCGCACGCATCTCCCACGGTTCTCCGTGAGCGACCTGCGCTGCCGTTCCTAGACGGTGAGCAAGCTCTGGTTCAGAGCAAGACGCGTTGACCATATCGATCGTTGTACCGTGAAACGGGCAATCATCATCATAATCAAAACAATCGTCGTCAGCAATCTCACAATCGTAATCAGCACGATCATCAACACCATCACCCCTTATCGCCATCACAACCATCGCACAGCAGTCAAGGCGTTTGAACATCTGGCGCGCCACGGGGCGGCATTTCATTAGTGAGATCGGTTGAAATAGGGACTGCTACGTAGACAGTGGGGTCGACAGTGAGTCGAATAATGAGACCGAGAGATCGGAGGCTGGGGGGCAATATCGATGGATGATGATATCGGTAGTGAGATCGATAGTGATAGCCTGTGGTGCCCCGTGCGTCTCCGGAGTATGATATTCGTACGTTCTTCTATATGAAAGAGGGCGCGTTCCGCTGGTTGCCCCGATGCTTCGAATGCGAGATCGATAGCGAGGTCAATGGTGGGGTCGAGTGCGATATCAGCGTGAGATCGACAGATATCCCAAGGCACATATACAAAGTGAGATCGAAAGTGAAATCGATAGATACGCCGACAGTGAGATCGATCGTGATATCGATAGCAAGATCGATCGTGGGATCGATAGTGAGATCGATGGATCACGAAACCGATAGCGACATCGAATGAGGTATCCCGTGGTGTCTCGCAGTGCCCGTGGTTCTGTATGTTCTGAATGCTCTTCGGACGAAAATGGCCCGCGGAATGGAACATGCCACCAGGTTCCGCTGGTTGCCCCGATGCTTAGAGGTTGATGTTGCGATCAACAAGTACTACGGGGGAACCTATTGCTCTGTATATTCGTCGTTCGACCCAAAGAAAAGAAGGAGCGGGCAAAGAAATGCCACCTGATTCCGCCGGTTGCCCCGATGACCCCCGACGGTCATCGAGGGCGCCGTCCGCACGCCATCGGTGGTGCTCCGCGGTGCACAACTGGATTCCGCCGTATCCGATCCGACCCCAACCGCACACACTGGAAGCTGAACTCCCCCCCAACGAATCTCTCTTTTTCACCCGAGAGGTGGTCGTATAGGTGTATGTCTTTATATGAATGTAAGTATGTACACCAAGCTTGGGCGCCCGACTCATCCGGGGTAACTCGGGTCCGGGGTAACTCGGGTTTGGATTCCCGAAAAAGGAACCCGAGTTAGCCCTGACCCGAGTTACCCCTGATGATGTGGGGCTCTGGACGCACGAATTATCCAGGGTAACTCGGGTCCGGGGTAAGTCGGGTTCGGATTCCCGAAAAACGAAAACGAGTTAGCCCTGACCGTGGTTACCCCTGATGATTCGGGGCTCTGACAAGCCGTCTGGTCGGCCACTGGGCTCTGTGTATAGACGGCCCAGCCTACCAGTCCATGAGATGCCTGAGAGTGAGGGGCAACGGTAGGGGGTGGGATTAGCACAGGGAGGGAAACATTGACCTGGAATCGGCAAAACATCGCCGATAGATCGGCGATAGGCCCCCGATAGCCAGTCCCCGCTTTCCTGGGCGGGGTAGGGCTAGCGGCCCCGATCGGCGATCAATGGGCGGTTGGATCGAGGCACCCTCCGTCTCGGGGGTCGATGCGTTCCCCCCTATACCCCCCTATCGATACCCCCTGAGAGAGAGAGTCTATCAGCATCGAACTTGTTGTTCGCCGAACTCCTCCGCTCCTGGGGCGACGAGACGACGTGGTGTCTATTCCAAGCCCCTGCGACCGCCCACTGCGCGGCGTCCCCCCTGCCCAGCGGCGCCCACTGCGGCATCGGCTGGCCGACCATCGAGGAACAGAGCAGTGACATACACAAAACTGAACCTTCGGAGGTCCGCGCGGAGGTCTCGGATCGGCGCCGGACCCCCCCCTCGCCTGGCACGTGGAGGCGCGCGCCAGGGGCGGCGGGGCCGGCGCCGCCAGGGGGGCCCGGCGCCGAGCCGAGACCTCCGCGCGGACCTCCGAGAGCTCGTCTTCTGGCCTGCTGCCGCGCTCCTCGAGCTCAGGAGCCCGCACGGGGCGGGCCCCGCCGCCTGCGCCGGCCGCGGAGCCGGCCCGTCCACGGGGCCCCAGGGCGCGGGCGCGGCCTCCTGCAGGCGGAGGGTCTGCCGGCCGCGGGCGCCGCCGGGCACCGGCTCGTCGGGCATGGCGCGGAGCTCCTCGCGGTTGTGCGCGTAGCGGCAGGCGCTGTCGCCGCAGGCCCCCGTGTTGATCAGCGTCTTGCAGAGCTTCGTGCAGGAGAGGTCGGGGGCGGCCTGGAGCTGCTGCCGCTCGTGCGCGAAGCGGCACCCGTCGCCCTGGGTGCACACGCCCATGATGTGGAACTTGCACATCTTGGTCTTCTTGAACACGGCGATCCGCTCCGTGCGGCACCCGGCGTCCAACGCCTGGCCGCCGCTGCCCGCGGATCCGGCCCCTCGGCGGCCCGTGCTGCTGCGGGTCATGTCGGGGAAGTCCGGGCGCGCGCAAAAACGCACGGCCGGGCGGATCGCGAGGCGGGGGGGCGCTTTTGGGCCGAAGTGGCCTGAGCCAAAGCGAAAAAGGCTTCAGCCAAAAAGGCGGCGGAGGAGAGAGAGAAAGGGCAGTGACGGTGATGGTGATGGTGATGATGATGATGGTGGTGATGGTGGTGATGCTGATGATGATGATGATGCTGATGATGATGATGATGATGATGATGGTGGTGATGGCGGTGATGCTGATTATGATAATGATGATGATGCTGATGATGATGATCATGCTAGTGATAATGATGCTGCTGCTAATGATGATGATGATGATGATGATGATGATGACGATGATGATGCTGATGATGATGACGTTGATGATGATGATGATGATGATGATGATGATGATGATGATGATGATGATGATGATGACTATGCTGCTGATGACCATGATGATGGTCATGATGATAACGCTTGTGGTGATGAGGAGGCTTAAGCAGGAGGAGGAGGAGGAGGAGGAGGAGGAGGAGGAGGGCGATCACGAGGTAGAGGAGAAGGCTGCGCAGCACGCGCATCAATCAGCCCCTGGAGCGTTGCAAGATACTCCCGACGCTCCTGCCCACGATTTGAAGACAATCGTGGAGGCCTCACGCGGCAACTCCGTGGGATCCACGACGGATGCACGTCGGAGTGGCGCGTCGGATGTGCGCAGGACCTACGTCGGAACATCGCCCCGCGGACGTCATCCCCTGTACCTCGACATCACTCGGACGTCCATTCCCTGTGTTCTTTTCTGTTTCGTGCGTGGTTTTTTCGCCAAATGATCAAGGATGCTCCTCGATGGTCCTCGCCGAAGGAAAAATGCACACGTCCGAGCGATGCCAGGTGTACGTCGGAGTGGCGTCGGATTTGCGTAGGACTTACGTCGGCACGTCGCCCCGCGGACGCCATCCCCCTGTACCTCTGACGGGGTGGACGTGTGGACCAGATCCTACGACTATGGCGCCACGCGAAGCCTCCTGGATCTCCCTCATAACATCGCCTGGTGATTCCGTCGTCGTCTTCGCCGTCGTCGTCGTCGTCGTCGTCGTCGTCGTCGTTGTCGTCAGCGTCGTCGTCGTCGTCGTCGTCGTCGGCTCCCTCCCTATCCTAGAGGTCCTTTATCTCGCGTCGGCTCTCCTGCTGTGCTGCCCGCGCCATGTCCACCTTACCAGCTCGGCGCTCCCCGTGGAACTGCCCGTGCCTTCTCGGCCGCGCAGAGCGGCGGGAAAAATGCCAGGAAGAGGAGGTGGCAGGACAGGACGGGAAAAGGCCGCGCCTAGACAGAGCATCGGTAGATGACTCCGCGGCTCTCATTGTACATGCAAGGTGGCGGAAGAAAGTAGGCCGAGCAACAGTTGTCTAGTGGTATCAGTCTCTCTCTCTCTCTCTATCTCTCTCTCTCTCTCTCTCTCTTCTTTCTCTCTCTCTCTCTCACTTCCCAACTTCTCCTCTTCGACGCAGACACCAGCACCCACAGTGCTCCAAAGACTGAGGCCCTGGGACACCTGACGCAACGTAGCAAATGCCTCCTGCTCCTCCTGCTCCACCTGCTCCTCCTGCTCTTCCTCCTCTTCCTCCTCCTCCTCCTCCTCCTCCTCCTCCTCCTCCTCCTCCTCCTCCTCTCGTTGGCAAGCTGTAGGGCCGCGGGGACCCGAAGCGTCCAGCAGCTCGCGGGGACGCAGGCACGCGACAGACAGGAGCCTCGCGGCGAAGGATGGGAGGCAGCAAGAAAGGAGGTCGAGGGAATGCGCAGACTGAACGCGGGCTGAACAAGGGCGCGCGGCCCTCCTCCTCCTCCTCCTCCTCCTCCTCCTCTTCCTCCTCCTCCTCCTCCTCCTCCTCCTCCGCGGGCGGGGAGGCGCCGCGGGCTCCTCCTGCGCCCGCGGCGCCTCCCCATGTCTGGGACGGCGCCGCGGGCGCAGGGCAGCCCGCGGCGCCGTCCCAGACATGGGGCTCGGGCCCATGTTGCACGTGCCCGGCGCGCGTGCCCACTCGCCGGGGGGGGGGGGGGCGCCGCGAGCCTCGTTCCCGCGAAGCGGCTTAATTGGCTCCCTGAAAGCCGCGGGTGCCTCCTCGCCAACTGGCGGGGCGCAAGCGCACCAACTCTCATGCGCGTGCCTTACCCTCCTCCTTCTCCTCCTGCTGCTGCTGCTCCTCCTCCTCGTCCTCCTCCTGCTGGACTGGAGCTAAGGGCTTCCCCTCCCGGGCTATCTTCACACCGAGGAGCTCAGCTTTCGCGGACTGCCTGACCTGGCCTGACCCCCTCCTCCTCCTCCTACCCCTCCTCCTCCTCCAACTGCCCCTCCTCTCCCTCTCTCTCTCTCTCTCTCTTTCTTTCTTTGTCTCCATCTCTCTCCCTCGCTATCTCTCCTTCTCTCTCTGTCACCTGGGCTGTTCAGTTTCCCTCCCCTCCCCTCCTCTCCCCTCCCCTCGCCTCGCAAGCGCAGGAGGAAAGGGAGGAGGGGGATGACAAGGGAAGGCGACGGAGAAGTACGCCGACGGAAGATGAAGGGGGATGAGGAGGAGCAGGGGGAAGGAGGACGAAAGAGGAGGAGGAGGAGGACGAGGAGGAGCAGGAGGAGGAGGAGGAGGAGGAGGAGGAGGACGAGGAGGAGGACGATGAGGAAGAGGAGGAGGAGGAGAGGAGGAGGAGGAGGAGGAGGAGGAGGAGGAGGACGATGAGGTCGAGAAGCCCTCTTGCCACTCTGTGCTCGCACGGGGGGGGGATAGCCTTCGACCTCGAAGTGTACTGGTCCAGCATCGAGTGGGTCAGGGCCCGCGTCACCCGCTCGTCCAGCCTCGGAAGGGACACGGGGGAGGAGGAGCAGGAGCAGGCGCACGAGGTCCTGCTCAGCATGTGGCCCTCCGTCCTCCCCTGCCCCCTGGGGCTGCTGGGGGGACACACTTCCCCCGCCCCTCGGAGGGTCCCTCTCCCCGTCGTGGCCATCCTTCTACTGTACAGCCTCTAATATGATTCCCCCCCCTAGGGGCACCCGCCCATGGGGGGGGCAGCATCCCATCCGGATCCTCATGTCTACGTGCAGGGTCAGCGTCATACGTACGATGGGACTGGGATGGAGGGGGAGAAGGAGGAGGAGGAGGAGGAGACGGATGAGGAGATGAGGCATGAGCTTCTATGAGCTGGAAAGCAGGAGAAGGAGGAACAGGAGGATGAGGAGGCGACGGAGGAGGAGGAGGAGGAGGAGGAGGAGGAGGAGGAGAGGAGGAGGAGGAGGAGGAGGAGGAGGAGAGGGGAGGGGGCAGGAGGGGGAGAGGAGGAGGAGGAGGGAGGAGGAGGAGGAGAAGGAGGAGGAGAGGAGGAGGAGAAGGAGGAGGAGGAGGAGGAGGAGGAGGTCTAGGTTGGCCTCGCGCGCTCTGCGGCCACGGACACGACGGCGACGACGGACGGCGACGGCGAGGACGACAGACACACAAACGCAGCGGCGTCAGACGACGTCGGCGGTGGCAGCAGCAGGAATTTGGGGCATGAGGGGGACGGGAAAAAGAAGGAGGCGGACGAGGAGAAGGAGGCGGGCACGCGCGCGCGTGAGTGAGTGAGCGTGTGTATATATATATATATATATATGTTTGTTTGTGTGCATGTTCACCTTGAGATCGAAGTCTGCATGGCTCATCTGCGATGTACGATTCATTGGTGCAACGCTGCGGAGAAGGGGCAGCAGAAACGTGTGTGTGCGCGCGTGTGTGCACGTGCGTGCGTGCGTGCGTGCGTGCGCGCGTGCGCGCGTGCGTGCGTACGCGCCTGTGCGCGTGATGCGCCTGCGTGCGACTTACCGGCGCCCTGGCTTCCGTGCCGTTACACAAGGGACATGTCCCTTTACTACCGTGCGCCCGTGATTTGGATTCGGCCGCGCGTCGGAGGGGAGGGAGCTGATTACGTGTGTGTGTGTGGGCGAGAGAGAGAGAGAGAGAGAATGTGTGTGTGTGTGTGTTTGTGTGGGTGCGGGTGCGCACGGGTTTGTGTGTGGATATATACATGTGTGAGGGCGGGCGGAGGACGAGAAGGGACGAAGGCGAAGGATGGGGACTGGAGAAGACGTGAGGGGGAGAGGGCGGCTGGGGTGGAGGAGAAAGAAGATAAGGGAGTACAATGGCGATCATGATGAGCAGGAAGAGAAGGATGACGAAGACGAGAGGTTGGGAGATGAGGGGATCGGATTGGAGAAAGGAAGGCTGGTATACGAGGAGGAGGAGGAGGCGGAGGAGGAGGAGGAGCAGGACGCGACGCTCGGTTGGGCCTGCCAAAAACGCCTGAGGAAACCAAACGGAACTGATACGGCTACTCCCCGGACTTCTTCGGGGTGCAGGTGGACCACAATTTCGAAGCGAATTCAGCCGTCGCGACGAGGGCCCAAAATAAAACCACAACATTCAAAACTAGTCAATGGCAACGGTATCCGTACAGTCAACCCGTATAATGAGGACGCACGATGAGGATGCAAGGGCCTTGGAGGGCCATGTCGACACTTTGCGAGCGGGGCGCGGCCAGCGAAAGTCGCCAGGGATGGGCCGAAGGAGAAGGATGCAAGGGTAGCCTTGGAAAGTTGCTCGTCCTTCGTGTGCGGGTTGACTGCGTCTCTCCCTCTGAGCGTAACTCCGCCGGGGCCTCCTGTGTGCACGCGTGGCTTGCGTCCAGGGACGGGAGGTTTCTTCGGCAACGCTCGGCCCCCGATCTCCGACGATGCGACTACCATTTCCGTGCGGGCGTGCTTTTCCTCGATCCCAGCGTCTTCGGGGGTCCGTGGGGCCCCGGTGCTATGACATACTGATCTGGGAAGGGAAGCTACCCCCCCCAGGGATCGACTGGTGGCGAGACCCTGGCCCTGCCGTCCTCACGCTGTGTGAGAAAAACCAACATGAAAGCGGGAGGTTTCTGCTCCTGGGGGCAACTTCGTCCTCACACGTGGTGGGCAATCTATTGTCGGCCCCCCATCGGCGGGCCCCGGGACCGTCGAGGAACGACTCCAGATGAGAACCCACCCCGGGGGGATGGGTCGAGGTGTTCCAGGTCCACGTTGAGAAAAAGACAAGGCGAGATCCTGGGAGGTCTGCGTGGGGCGTCGCCTCGCCGCACCTCTCGGGGGAGCATCGAGTGTTGCGACGGTGTCACGCCCGCTCCATCCTCCTCGGGCGCGCAGGGGGCGCCTCTCGGATGCCTGGGACTCTCTCGAAGGCGCAGGGCGCCCGAG